CAATCTTTTAGGCTTTTCTTTCTGGTGAAGAAAGAAGAGCAGCGGAGCTGTAGCTTCTGTTCTCGGCGGTGGCTTTCCAGGCGAGCGATCTGCTCTTCTTTGGCGAGGGAATCTGAAGCGCTCGGCGCAGTGGAACTTGAGGCGATAGCGGCCTCGCGGCGGTTGCGGTACGATTCGCGCTGCTGCGCACATCGCCGCTCGTTCCGCTCCCACCATCTATGAGCGACGGCGGCAACCAGTTGTATTGTTGCCGCCGTCGCTGATAGATGGCGGTAGCTGTCCAGGGTTCGGTGTCATCTCTGTTTCGCTGTTGGACACGATCCTGGGGAAACTAGCCCTTTACAGCTCCGCTGTAAATATTGTCACACGGGGCGAGGTCAGGTAAATAGGGAGTGTGAAGGGTGGGGGGCATTTTATGCAGACAATACGGCAGAACACTGCGCGGTGTGGGCAGGCGTGTTGTCAGAGTGCACCAACCAGTCTCCTGCTTGCCACAACCATGGGCGTTTCTTCCGCAACTCGGGACATTTCTTCCGCAAGTCGTGACGCAACCTTTGCAAAACTTGCAGATAAGAACCTTGGTGAACCGTTTGACTCGGAGGAACAAATTAAGAGTGTACAACCCATCTCACGTCAAGGAAACAGATGATTATTGTTCTCACGTTAGTTTTTTCTTGTCGTGCTTTCTTGGTTCGTAAGGAAGCTTTCATTGGCTGCAGCGGCGTAGACTTTCCATTTTCCCAGGAAGGGGGGGGGGGGGGGGGGCAGGCTGAGTTCTCCCGATAAGGGGGGGGGGGGGGTGGTTCGCGCTACCTTCTCGCCAGAACTGGAGATTGAAGCTGACGAAAACACGCTGGTATTCCGTTTCCCATGTATTTTGTCAATAAAGGCAACGTGGGCGCTATTTTGTTTGCATGCCACTACTAGAAGCTGGTTACATGGCACGTAAACAGCGTCTCGGTAAGGACAATGGCCCGGGTCCAAGGGGGACTCTGCCCCCCCTGGATTTCACCAGGGGGGGCAAGACCCCCGATGCCCCCCCCCCCCCCCCCCTCAATAGTCTACGCCTATGATTGGCTGGATCGCTGTTTCGTTTCGAAGTCGTAGCCGCAGTACCAAGACTCACCCCCGGTAATCTCTTTCAATTAAAAAAAAAAAGGAGTCATCCTGAAATTGCTTATTTTAAGCACGAACTCTAGCCTTTTTATACCAGTCTGTGCGAGCGAAGCGTGAATAGTGCTACAACTCATTTCATGCGCAAATCCTCCGACATAATTCGCTGACAGAAACTCCATGACACTCCAGTCAACCCCACAGGCTCACCAGACATCCGAAGTCTGTTATCGAAAATGGCTTGACGAATTCTTGTCGCAGTCTCTTCAGTTCGGCTTGTCTAAGGACGGCCGGAACGAGGTGGATTTTCAGTAAAAATTTCACCTTGCTTCAAACGGGAAACCCATTTGCATTTGCTCACAGAAGCTTCCTTGTAGCATACTAACCGTTTCTGCCTCATTGTCTTCAACAGGAAACAAATTTTCACTGCCGCACGTGTTCGTAAAAGTCATCCACCACGAAATTGGCAAACCTGTTAAAAGAGTCTCGCAGACAATCGACTGCAGCTGAACGCTCACAGGAACGCCGACTACTGCACCAATGGGTCCCTAGAAAACGCACCTAGCGGGGGAAACTTGTACAACAAGGAACCCGCCCTCCAGAAAATAATTCCGGTTACTATACCAATAAAATATCTCACCTTAAATGACAGCAATCGGCGTTTGGTTGTGGTTATCTATTTTATAATCGTGGAAATGTATACAAGAAAGTCCTGAACGCCGTTTTTCTGTTATCTGCTTCAGGAAACCTTTGTAAATATGCCTTTTTCTGGAGTTGGTCTCCCTTTATTTTTGAACTTTTGAGTGCCAGACAGTGGCTGGGTAGGTTCCTCACGAAGCACTGGAGAGCTCTTGGGAAAACTAGAGCCATGTATGTGCAATGGCACTTTCTGAATCT